TAAAATGTTAAAAAAGAAAATTAAAAAAAAAAGAAATACTTGCTGATGGAAATAGAAGACGATTCAATGAAATAAACTACAAAATTTTTAAAAATTAAAAAAAGTGATGTTGTCAAGCATTTCACTTTATTTGATCTACAATCAATGCTCATAGAAGCATTTCAGTTCTTAAATCAAATGGCCTATTGCAATGGGCAGATGTGCTTCACTTAGACCTCTTTTAGACTGTTCAAGTGCTAAGATTTCACTTTGAAGGTTAAGGTGCACTTGACTTAAGTCATGATATTTTTAGTTGCCTCATATGCATTAGAAAGCTGGATCATGCACACGGACGACTACAGAAGTGATTAATTTGGATTGTGGTGTTGGTGAAGATTATTGAACGTACCGTGGACTGCCAGAAGAAAAGAAAAACAAATCCGTCTTGGAGGAAGTACAACCAGAATATTCCTTAAAACGGTGTGTGACAAGACTTCGTCTCATAGATTTGGGAGATATGATCAGGAGAGATCAGTCCCTTGAAGAGGACACCACGCCTGGAAAAATAGCGGGTCAGGGAAAAGAGGAAGACCACCAAGTAGTTGGACTTACACAGTGTCTGTCACATTGGGCTTCAACAGAACCGCAATGAGGCGGGGGTGGGGCGGGGCCGTGTCTCACATGGTTGTATGTAGACCCACTATGCATTGGAGATGACGCAGTGATGCCCAACAACCATATATCCTTGTGCCCATAAAAATTTCAGCTGAGTCTATGAAATTCAGAAGTAAGCTTCAAAATTAATATTTTTATGTATTTTCTTCTATTGCTAGCAGGTCAATTCTTACACAGAATGACCCTATTTGTTACCCTATGTGTGGAACTTGGCCATAGTTTGTTTGATTGTTTGCTTGTTTCCTCTCCTCTGTAATCACAGATTTTTCTTGGATCGATGAGTGGGTTTGAATTACCAGCCTTTAGTTTAGCCGTAAAGTGCAAACCAAATGCACCATGTACTAATTTTCCCTGCACCATCCTCACAATTGTTCTTATATTTGAGCCTATTTTTTCAGCCACTGTGACAATCCATCTGGTCAGGGTCTTTCTCGTTTCCTTGGCTCCTCTATTTGACCAAGTAGAATGCCCTTCTTCAGGTCCTGGTTTCTCCTGACAACATGTCCAAAGTACGTGAGACAAAGTCTCCCCATCCTTGTCTCGAAGGAGCAGTCTCCTGTACTTCTTTTCATATAAATTTGTTTTTCTTTGACAGTCCATGATACTTTTCATATTCTTTGCCAGCATCATATTTCATGCTTAATTTTTTATAGGAAGACTATGAATTATGTATCTCAAACTCAGTGTCTTTGAGTTGATTCCCACTCATTGTGACCTTTCAGGACAGAGTAGAATGGCCTCTGTAGGTCTCTGAGACTCATTTATGAGAGCAGAAAGCCTCACCTTTCTCCCAAGGAGCTGCTGGTGGTTTCAAACTCCTGATTGTGAAGGTAGCAGCCCACTCACTCTATAGTACCTCTGATTCTTGTGGTTCTTCATGTGTTTGCAAATAAATACACTTATTACTAATAAATTGCCACTTTTAAAACTATTGATTTAATCTTTAATATCTATTGGTATCAGTGAGTAATGATCTTTCAACATTGTTTCAATACAATAATCATGTTGAATAGCCAAAGTGGACACTCAGTTACTGTAAGCATTTTGGTGAAAGGATTTATATTTGATCTCTACTTAGGTTTTTCTATTTAAATGGGCATTTCACTGACCATGTTTCAGTTTACTATGTCACAAAAATTCTCATAAAGGAGCAAGAGCATTTCCTTTGAGGAAGTGGCTTCTAGGCAAGGCATGAAAGATGATATAATGTGCATGTTGTCTTTCTCCTTCTGTAGGTGGCCGTTGCCATAAATCCTGCACCGGCCGATGCTGGGGACCCACAGAAAACCACTGCCAGACTTGTAAGTGTTCGTCAATGAGAAAACAGAATCGTCAAATAATGTCAATGCTTTTCAGCCCTCTGGTCATCAGAGACATGGCAGTGAGCTTTTGTCTCCTTGTGGTAGATGTGCTTTGATCCAAGTACACTGCCCAATTTTGTTGATTTTAGATGAAATGTGATTAATAATGGCTCCTACACTGCTCTGTGCTTTCTAGGTTAACGATCTCAGTGACACAGCCGTGGGGGGATTAGCTGTGACGTCAGGTTTGGTTCCTCACCTATACGAAATACAATTTTATAGAAAAGGATAATTATTTCAAGTTAACCACAGATCTCAGTATTTTCCCCAAATAGTTATATCTTCATTTATTCATTAAAGCATAAAATTAAGAAGCAGGACAAAGAAATGAAGGAAAAAGAGGGGGGAAGTAGGAGAGAATATAATGATGGTGGAGGTTGGAGAGAAGGGAGGGAAAAGTGGTGAATACTTGTTTGCCTGAGGCATTGAAAATGACTTAAATACTCTAGGGGAAAGAGTAAGGCCGTGGTTTGAAATGTATCCTTTCATTCCTATTGGAAACACAAAGAAAATGTTGTTGAAAAATTAAACATACCAGTATTAGACATTGTGGAGTTTTACTGGTTAACAGTTCAGATATTTCCAGTTTATCTTGGCTAATTTATGCTACATGCTGTTTAATAAAGAAACACCCAAAGAATTACCATGTTGAGAAACTAAGGAAAACTGATTAGGAAGTTGCATATCCTTAATTGACTCAATGGCACAAATTGCATAGCTAGTGATGACTGCACATTGATTTTTTTAAAAATCTCGATAGTTTTATTGGCATATACTTCACATATCATATGATTTAATTTTTCAATCATATTCAGAAGAGTTGGGCAGTCATCACCATCACAAATTCTGGAACATTTTCTTTTCATACTCGTTGTTAGATCCCCATTTCACCCCAACCTCTCTTGCCAGGTCCTCAGGTAATTATACATCCATATTGTCTTTATAGATTTGCCTGTCCTGGATTTCATATACAGAAAATCATGCAAACATAAACAGGAAGGTAAAAAAAGACAAAACAAAGCAAGCTGCAATCAAAAAGAGAGCAGCACTTATTAAAAATGGAAACAACTTTTAAATGAGTCAAAAGAGGGACCAAATGATTAACTTTTAACCTAACTATAACTGTCATAGTCAACGTTGCAATGCTTTCCTGGATTTTTTTTCACTTTGTGTATTGTGTTGAAAAAAATTGTGATATTAATTTCTCAAAGTGGAATTTCCACACTAAATGACATATATTTTCTTTCATAGCAAACACCAACATGGTGATCTTGTTTTCATAGAAATTTTAACAATTTACCTTTTAGGAGTGACGTATGAGTTCTCTTAAACTTTTTCCCTGGATAAAAGAGTACATTATCTAACTATCCCATCTTTGTCTATTTAAGTCAACTTTTTTAATAGCAGTAATGGCTTATGACAAATTTTCACAAGAAGTTTGAAGTAGGTAAAGTAAGATTAAAAAGATGACTGAATTGGACCCACTACAGTATTTCCAGACAAGGTTTTATTAGCAAAGAAATTGAAACCAAATTGTTCCTCTGCTGGACTGGCATTGTATTAGTGTTGTACAAAATCTGGATTTCTAGAATATGGAAGAAACATTATAACACGTTGAGGTGAGGTAGCAAGTAATCATGAATTTATGGTGTCCATGGCTCTGTGACAAAGAACGTGTATCTTGTCAAGCTTAAAAATGAGTTTCACTCACTCACTCATTAAGGCTTCACAGGCTGAGCCAATCAGATGATATCTTCATATACTTGGGATTTAGGATCTATGAATTGGGCTACTCACCACGAGGTCAGCAGTTCAAACCCACAGCTGCTCCATGGGAGAGAGATGAGGCTTTCTATTTCCATTAAGAGTTATAGTATTGCAAACCCACAGAGACAGTTCTACCTTGTCCTCTAGGGCTATTATGATTTGGAACCTACTCGATGACATTGAGTTTCGTTTGGTATACTACTATAAGGTCCTATGAGTTGCACTCAACTCTATGGCTGTAAGATTTTTCTCCTACTTTAGGAGCCCATCCAGGGTCTACTCTTAGACAGAAAAAGACACATTTCTATTCTGGCTGCTTGTTGTTTCTAGGTTAGATTTGGGAAATGCCAGTCTTAGTTTGCTTTTGCTGTTCAGTAAGGGCATATCAAAAATTTGCCAAAATGTTTTCCTACCTATAGTGGATTTCAAATCAGTTTTCAATCTTTACAACACCTTTCAAGCTTCCTCTTTGTTGCCTCTTGCATATGTCCAAGATTATAAGAGTAATTTAGAGAAAGTGTTAGAGAGAGAGATAAGTGATGCTAATTTTTTTGAATGTGAAGTCTTATATTAAAACAAGACCAATAATGCCATCCATTTGATTCTGGCTCAGAACAACCTTAAATGATAGAGAGAATTGTTCCATAGGGTTCTTGGAACTATAATAAAAAAGGAGAGAAATTCCTCATTTTTCTCACGATAATGGCTAGTGTATTTTATATATTTATTTATATATTTATATTTATTATAAATTTAAATAAACAAACAAATAAATTTAAATAAATAAAATATAAATTATATTTATTTATATATTTATTATATATCCTTATATTTTATAAACACTGACACTGATTTTTTTTGGGGGGGGGGGATTAAATCACTAATAGTTAGATAATACACTCTTATCTAGGGAAGAAGTTAAAGAGAACTCACACGCATTGCTCTTAGAAAAGTAAATTAGCAAAGGAGATGATAGTTTGATTATAAACATTAGACAGTCCTTACAGCATTGTCTTCAAGGCCAATTAAAATAATTACTGATTTACCCAAACATAACTCCTACTCTCATCCCTAAATCTTGTTTCTTAAAGTAGTTGAATTCTTTAGAAATATAATACTTGAGTGAAGTGTGAGTTTGACTGATGTTAATAAAAAGACTAGAAAGATAACATAATTTAAGGTTTAGTTTGTTCAAAATCCAAAATATAACATCCCCTTCCCTTGCAGTACAAATCCCTTTTAAGCTTAATCAGTAGGGTTGTTCTAACCCAGAAAAGAGGTGACAAGGGTCATTAAGATAGGTAGCCAGGCACAAAGCTTCCCCCATTTAGTAAACCATGGAATATGATGCTTCAGGCGAGGGTGGTCTGGTAACCTTTAGAGCAGTGGTTCTCAACCTTCCTAATGTTGTGACCCTTTAATACAGTTCCTCATGTTGTGGTGACCCCCCCGACCATAAAATTATTTTCATTGCTACTTCATAACTGTAATTTCACTATGTTATGCATCAGATCGTGACCCACAGGTTGAGAACTACTGCTCTAGAAAAATATAGGTATAGATCATTGTTTCCGGTGACCATTTCAAAACCTGCTCTTTTCTCCATAGTTTCGGACATAATTTACTTAATTTTCACTGGATTTTTGAAGCAGGCTGGAGATAGCAAACCCCCGCTCTTTCTGCTCTACCTCCTATTTTTTTGTCCAGATTTTTGGCTTTCATAAAAGTTGGCATAACCCACACAGGCTATTGCCCTTAGATATCCTTTTGAACCTTGTTTTCTTGGGAAGCAAACAAACACACAAAAATCGGTACCTGAGGGCCATTATGAGTGAAACAACGGTCCAGGTATCTAGCACGACCGTTTTTTGTGTTGGACACGTTGCTGAAGCAAGGGCCCAAGCTTTGCTCTCACAGGTTCAGTGAGAGACAGAAGGAAACAGTGCTTTTAAGTTTTCTAATTCTGTTTCCCAATTTCTGTTCCTCACATATTTCTTGTTTTTTTTTATTTTTAGTTACTTAATTACATTTTAACATAGTATCAGCAAAAGAGCCACTTTAAATCTGCAGATAAAAACAACTATAAGTTAGGAAATTGGAGAGAAAGAAGAACATTGTTTTATTCTATCTGGAGAATAGAATGCAAGTAATATTTCCCTAGAGATTTCATACTAATTTTTAGTCCACTCAGTCCTATCTATTTAATTTCCCTTTCATAATATACTGGCTAGCCACAAGTTATGAAACCCATCAACTTCTTCACCAAAGTACAGAAAAACATGATTCATTCCATGAGATTCACATTCAAAATATCAGAGTTCTTTTCATAAATCCAATAAGTCCATGTTTTTGTTGAAGTATTTTGGTCAAGTGTTTCATCAGGCAACAAAGCAAACTTATGTACAGATGAAAAAAACAATGTAATCAAGACTTACAGTTACCCAATAATAAAAACTGAAATGTGATAATTTTCATCAGAATTAATTAAAAAGAATACAAAGCCAAATAAAGTCAATCTAAAACAGCCACATTAGAGGACAATATCTCTGGACATGATTTTTTTTTTTCCTGAAGAGCTTCACATAAAACGCATAGTTTTCCTGGGACATGATAACATATAGTCAAGATACATTAAGAATATACCTTTTTTCCCTACCCTTGATAATTTATAAATTATTATTATTTTGTCATGCCTTACACTATCCGATGGTTCCCGTCACCCACTTATCTGTTGTCCGTCCCCCAGGGAGGGGGTTATATGTAGATCCTTGTGATCGGTTCCCCCTTTCCACCCCACCTTCCCCTTATCCTCTTGGTATAACTACTCTCATTATTGGTCCTGAGGGGTTCATCTGTCCTGGATTCCTTGTGTTTCCAGTTCCTAACTGTACCAGTATACATCCTCTGGTCTAGCCGGATTTGTAAGGTAGAATTGGGATCATGAGAGTGGGGAGGGAGGAAGCACTAAAGAACTAGAGGAAGGTTGTTTGTTTCATCGGTGCTCCACTGCACCCTGACTGGCTCATCTCCTCCCCATGACCCTTCTGTAAGGGGATGTCCAGTTGCCTACAGATGGGCTTTGGGT